AAACCTATATATATATATACACTGATCAGTCAAAACATTTAAACCACTGACAGGTGAAGTGAATAACATTAATTGTATTGTTACAATGGCACTTGCCAAGGGGTGAGATATATCAGGCAAGAAGTGAACAGTCAGTCCTTCAACCCCTTCGCGAACGTCATTTATTAAAGTTAACCCCTCTCAGCTGCAGCTGTGATCGCTCTGACAGCCTCTGACACATGTGCTGCAGGGACTTCTGATCTGCCTCCCTTTGCTTCCGCGGTCAGTGTGACGTGCAGGGAGACGGTTCAGTGCTGATCTGCTTCTCCTTGCAAAAAAATAATTAATTAAAGTTAAATCCCACCCCCTCACCCCCCTTTCCCCTGCTTTAATAAAATTAACCCTTCCCTGCCAGTTGGACTACATTTTACTTGATCTGAATTTTTTTTTTAACCCCTTGAGGGTTAACTTATTTTTTTAACCCTCAGGAGTTAAATGTATTTTATTAATTAATTTAAATATTATAAAATTATATATTTAGCTATCTAGGGTGGGTCGAAGTTAGTGGGGAATTGGGGAATTTGGTGTTTGGCTAGATAGGGGTTAACGTTAAAAAAAAGCTTTAAAAAGTTTTTAAAATGTTGTAATAATGTTTTAAAAAAGTAAAAAAATCCCATCCCACTTTACCCAGTCCTAATAAAAATGAACCCCTTCCCTGCCAGTTGGTCACTGTCTACAGTAATCAAAATACAGATCACAGTATTATACTGTGGTCTGATTTTTTTTAACCCCTAAAGATTAACTGTGATTTTTTTTTAACCCTCAGGGGTTCAATTTATCTAATTAATAATTTAAATATTTTAAAATGATATATTTTGCTAGCTGGGGTGGGTGAGAGTTACGGGAAATTGGGGAATGTAGTGTTAGTGCTGCTTACTGCTAGTTAGGGGTTAACGGTAAAAAAAGGTTTATAAAAATTTTAAAGGTAAAAAAAAGTTTTAAAAGTTTTAAAAAGTACAAAAAGTTTAAAAGAGTAAAAAAATGCTCATTACCACTACACCTGGAACAAACCGGCAAAAAAATGATCCCACGCTAAGGCTCAAAATATGCCTTTTGAAATACCCCAGCGTGTATTCTTTAAAAAAAATGGTATGCGTTTGTGGGGTAGTTTGCATAACAAACCAGCTAAACTACTCCAAAATGGAACATGGACACAGCATCAAATTACAAAGTTAGAAAAAAACCAAATGGCTGTGTCTCAAATGTGCCCCTTCAACATCCACATATACCTGGCAAAGGTACATACCAGTGGCATACATACCAGGGTCGCAGGGGTCGCGGCTGCGACCGGGCCCGGCCCACCAGGGGGCCCGGCCGCCCCTGCGACCCGGTATGTACCCACAGGGTCAGCCTCTTCTCCTGGGGGTCCCAGGAGCTGACCACCCCAGGGCCCCCCGAGGCTGGCCCTGCTGTCACGGGCAGGCGGGTGGCCGGTCGGGCGGGCAGGCAGGCGGGCGCGCGAGGGAGCACTCAGTGCTTCCTCTTCAGCTTCCTCGCGCACCGCACTGATACCGGAGCGGGAAGATGACGTCATTTTCCGGCTCCGGCATCCCTACGCGGCGCGCGAGGGAGCTGAAGAGGAAGCACTGAGTGCTCCCTCGTGCGCCCGCCTGCCTGCCCGCCCGACCGGCCACCCGCCCAGCAGCACCACTGGACCCCAGGGAATCCCTCCAGCACTCCAAAAGGTAAGGAGGCTGGGGGGATTACATTTAAAAAAACAAAAAAAATGTGTTAGAGTGAGTGTTAGAGTGTGTGAGTGTTAGAGAGTGTGTGTGTGTGTGTGTGTGTGTGTGAGTGTGTGTATGTGATTGTTAGAGTGTGTGTGTGTGAGTGTTAGAGTGAGTGTTAGAGTGAGTGTTAGAGTGTGTGTTAGAGTGAGTGTTAGTGTGTGTGTTAGAGTGAGTGTTAGTGTGAGTGTTAGTGTGTGTGTGTCTGCTAGTGAGTGTTAGAGTGTGTGAGTGTTAGTGTGTGTGAGTGTGTGTGTGTTAGAGTGAGTGTTAGTGTGTGTGAGTGTTAGAGTGAGTGAGTGTTAGTGTGTGTGAGTGTTAGTGAGAGTGAGTGTTAGTGTTAGTGAGTGTTAGAGTGAGTGTTAGTGTGTGTGAGTGTTAGAGTGAGTGTTAGTGTGTGTGAGTGTTAGTGTGAGTGAGTGTTAGTGTGTGTGAGTGTTAGTGTGTGTGAGTGTTAGAGTGAGTGTTAGTGTGAGTGTCAGTGAGTGTATTACTGTGTGTGTCTTACTGAGTGTGTGTGTTAGTGAGTCTGTTTGATGTCTGTTAGTGAGTGTGTGTTTGTCAATGAGAGTGTATGTTTTGTAAGTGAGTGTGTATGTATGTCTGTCGCTGAGTGTGTCTCTGTCAGTAAATGTGTGTGTCTGTTAGCTAGTGTGTATGCGTCTGTAAGTGAGAGTGTGTGTGTCTTCAGCACTTACCTTTCTCCAGCGCCGGACTCCCTTGGCGCTGGGGATCCCTCAGCCTCTCAGCTCCGAATGCGACCGCGCACGCATTCAAACCGCCCATAGGAAAGCATTACTCAATGCTTTCCTATGGACGTTCAGTGTGCTCCTCTAGCGGCTGTCAGTGAGACAGCCACTAGAGGCTGGATTAACCCTCAGTGAAACATAGCAGTTTCTCTGAAACTGCTATGTTTTCAGCTGCAGGGTTAAAACTAGAGGGACCTGACACCCAGACAACTTAATTGAGCTAAAGTGATCTGGGTGTCTGTAGTGGTCCTTTAAGTGTGTGTGCATCTGCATGCACTGGCGTACATACCGCGGTCGCAGGGGTCGCAGCCCTGTAACCCCTGCGACCAGGTGCCCACCGCCATATGTTGCGGCCCGGCCCACACGCGGGGGGGGCCCATGGATCAATTTTCGCACCGGGGCCCCATGGGTCATGTGTACGCCACTGGTACATACGGTGGTATTCATATACTATGACGACATAACTGGGCAACCTACCAAGTGTTATAATTGCATAGCACACATAAGGTTTGCAAAATGTACAGTAGTTGCTCACTGTGCTGGTCAAAAATGCAGAAAAAATGCTTATTACCACTACACTTGGTAGAAAATACATACTGCCGACATAGCTGAGCAACATATGAAGTATTATACAGCCATAGCACACATACGATTTGCTAAATATACTGTGCAAACTCACTTTGTGTGTCAAAAAGGCAGAAAAAATGCTTATTACCACTACACCTGGTACAAGCTAGTGGAAAAATTATCCCACACTAAGGTTCAAAATATGCCTTTTGAAATACCCTGGGATGTTTTCTTTAAGAAATGGTATGCCTTTACGGTGTAGTTGGAATATGTAGCCTGCTCAAGTGCTCCAAAGTGAGACACAGACACATCAAAAGCCTCCATGAAAATTCACACTTAAAGACCTGAACATGTTACGTCTCTTTTACAGCACTGTAACTTCATAAAATAATGTCTAGGTCATACATTAAGCATATTGTTTTACTCAGAAGATGTAACTGAGCATAATTTGTGGTGTTTTATGACAGTGGCACATATCGCATGTAAGACATACTCAGCAAAAATGCAACATGTATGTAAAAATTTAAAATTTTCCCCCTCACCACAAACATTGACAAAAAATGGTAACAAGTTAAGGCACAATGTACGCCATTTAAAATACCCTGGGGTGTCTTCTTTATCAAATGGAGGCCCTTTGTGGTGTATTCGAACTGTCAAACTGCTATTATACCCCAAAATGAGATATAGGCCCGTCAAATCCATCTATGAAAATTCTAACTATAGAAACTGAAATAGCCTTGTCTCTTATATGGCATTGTAGCTTTACAGAATAGTGCCAAAGGTATACAATGGGGGTATCGTTGCACTCAGCAGATGTAGCTGAACACAATATGGGGTTCTGTGCAGGAAAAGCACACACCAGCTTTACGAAATGTACACCTATACATATAGAGGTGCATATGCCAAAATAGAGAAAAAACACAATTTTACGCCAATATTTAGCAGAGATTGGCGATGAAATGGCTAAGTAAAAAGTTTCAAAATAACCTTAGGTAAATAGCCTGTGATGTCTACTTTATATCAATATGTTATATAAGCTGTGTCCTTAATGGGTTAATTTCATGTGTTGGAAGCAGAAAAAATGGGCAAGCGAAACAATCTGAGTGACTAGGACAAGGGCCAAATAGTGATGGCTAGTGACTGGGTCAGAGCATCTCCAAACAGCAAGTCTCGTGGGGTGTATGCAGTAGTTAGTATTGCATACACTAATGTCTGCTGCTAATGTCTTGCCACCAGATAGCGAAGGACATGTTCAGAGGTCTTGTGGAGTGTCTGCTGTATTGGTATTATGAGAGGGACCTACACAAAATTAGGCAGGTGATGCTATTAATTTGGCTGATCAGTGTAGGTTTAAAAAACAAGTACAATAAACTGTCCTAATGCTGACAGGGCAGAAAAAAGGACTAGGGATCAGGGGCTACTGAGGATCCACCTTTACCTATGTCTTAATTTAATTGATGTTCCTGTCCTATTGGCTGGAGAGAGGAGCAAACCCATTAGTTAAATGCTGCAATGATTAGCCAAGAAATGGAATTGTGATAGGGTAAAGAGTAGTGATGTCCTGAACGGTTCGCCACCAATCTCTTCAGGAAAGCTTATGGCCTCCCAGAGTAACCTCTACCTTACATACCTGTCTCCTGCTCTCTCCTATGGGACAGTGCTTTGCTCTCTCCTCCAGCTCTGCTTCACTCCTACTTGATATTTCTTGTCCTAATGTTTCTAATACCCCACCTCCTATAGTCTGTAAGCTCATTTGAGCAGGGTCCTCTTCAACCTATTGTTCCTGTAAGTTTTCTTGTAATTGTCCTATTTATTGTTACACCCCCCCTCTCAAAATATTGTAAAGCGCTACGGAATCCGTTGGCGCTATATAAATGGCAATAATAATAATAATAATAATAATAACTCCAGTCAGCAGACACATTCCAGCCAATCAGCAGCAGATCCTCCCTCCCAGGCCCTCCCACCTCCTGGACAGCCTCCATTGTGAAGCTGCATTCTTAGTGAGCTGTCCAGGAGGTGGGAGGGTCTGGGAGGGAGGGTCTGCTGCTGATTTGGCTGGAATGTGTCTGCTGACTGGAGTCTGTGGCGAACCGTTCGTGGCGAACCGCAGCAAACCGTTCGGGACATCACTAGTAAAGAGCAATATCACCAGATTTACCATCACCAACATAGACCAGACAGTGGGGACACTCTGCTGTAACTCTTCAGTAAGGGTTATCTTTGATGCCACCAACAAACATAACTGGTGATTTTTTTTTACTTAGTTGCTTCCTGGGGGGATTAGTGACTAGAAAGTACAACGTTTGAACTTGTGATGGTAGAAGGAGCTAGAGCACCACAGGAAGTGGTAGCAGACATTATTGTATAGCTGGTGGCCTCTTGGGAATTAAATAGGTCAGCAGCCTCCTTGTACATGATGGGTGCTACTTTCTTAAAGGTGTCTTAGTGGTGGTGCTGGTTGTACTAGTCCTGTTGCTGCTAACGGTACTTTCAGTCTGTGCTTGGGGAAGCCCGGCACGGTTTAAATCCAATGCTACTTTTTGTGGGCCTAGTGGAGTCTGTTGCTGTAACCACAGATCCTTCTGCTACTTTACACTTTAAGTCACCAATTACAGAACAAAAAGGCAGAGAAAAAAAAAGTGCCTCCTAGGTGTTAAACCAGACGTGACGGCACTACTGCTGATGGTGTTTTTGCAGCGCACTACCCCTTTCCCTAGGTTTTCCTCAATTTGTCCTTTAGATTAGGAGGTACCATCGATGATGGAAGGTTTTTTTTATATAAATACAAAAGAGGATATGAATGGGTATTGTGTAACGATCAACTTTATAAAGACAAAAAGAAGTTTGTGTTAAATAAATGGGTTGATGCTTGGTGGATTTACACCTGCTGTAAACATACGCACACAGTTAAGGAAAATGAGGCTTTTTAAATTGATTCTTCAATGATGTTGTACCCTGGCACAATGGGCTGAAGTCACTCAAAGGGGAAAAACAAAAGTATTTTCTACAAGCAGTTTAAAATGAAATGAAAATTTTAAACAGAACTTCCAATCTCTTCAGTTAATCAAAGTTTGTATAAGAGAATGTACCATGTCAATTGACTAGGTACACATGTGCGTCGTGGGGTTATTCAGGGGTCAAAGTTACTGCACACACTGCTATCAGTCGCGAGGGCATCAGTAACAGCTGTTGCGATGCCCTCGTGAGCCTCTATGCAAGAGTCCATGCGGACAGTGCTCTTATTGGAGCGCTTGTCCGCGAGGGTGGTCTAGAGTGGGGAAAAACGCAATATATAAGGCACCCGGAGGTGATATTTGGCGCCAGAAAAAAGAAGAAAAGTTTAATGTAGAGCTGTTTTTCTTATTTATTTCACTCATATCAATTTTCTTTGTAGTTTATAAGAAGATAGCTATGGAGCATTTGATTGAGGAAGTGAAGAGGAGGGCATTCAGCAGTGGAGGTGCTGAATGGCTCATGCAGTGTCTGTTGACTGCCCCTTCCTCTCAAATGGATTCACGCCAACAGGATTCTTTATTGGACGTTATAGAGCCCGAGGAGGAGAAAGCTGCAAAAGGGGAAGACTCAGAGGAGGAGATCAAATGTCTGTTTGCCTGAGTGACAGAAGTTTACTTCAGGGTAGGAAGAAGAGAATGTATAAATCAAGAGGGATTTATTCTCCGTCATCCACCAGAGTAAGAAATCTTAAAGCTGCAGGGAAAAGGAAGAAGAAATCATGTCAGGTGGCTGAAATGGAGCAAAAACCGGTCGTTGAAGTTGCTGAACAAGCTGGCACCTCGTATACTGCGCCTGCGGATGGAATGGACAATTCAACTGGTGAGTCCTGCTCTGGGGTTTCTACTGAAGCCAAGCTGAGAGAGGCCCTGGAGGTTTTATTTCAGGCTCTTCAGGGTGTAGTCCAGCTATGGCTTGGCTACAAGATAGTTTGAAATTGTCAAAATCACCTGCATCATTAATTTGATTAATCGCCCTGACAAGAACAGTAAGCCTGTGTCACATCCTGTTCCTCGCTGCGGATCATTCTGGCAATGGCTTCTGGTATCCAGTACTCTTTTTGCTGTTCTTGCTTGGTTTTTCTGGTTTTCTGGTCTATGTCTGGTTTTCGTTATTGCTGGGTTTCTGGGTTCATTCTTAGATTCTGTCCCTGGATTTCCCAGTCTCTTGGATTCACTTAAATGTTTGTTTTATGTTGCCACACCTGTTTGTTTTCCACTTTCCTTTTGTTTCAGCTTGGACCTGCAGCAGTGTTTAATTTCTCTGCCCTTTCTTGCAGGTAAGTGCTATTGTGGTATAGTGTGGTTGTTTTAGCATGCATTACGCAGTGTAGGACCTGCCAGATATGGGGTACATTGGCGTTGTTGGGAGGCTTGTGCTACGTATGATCATATAATGTGACTAAATCCCCATACTTTTCATAATTAGTGCTTAGTTATGTTTCCTCTTGTTTTACCTTGTATCTCTTGTCTTGTAATCCCAGTCCATGTACAGTCCTGTCCAGTCATGCCCATGTTATGTTCTTGTTTTCCTCATGTCTTGTGTACATGTTCTAGGTTCTGCTTTCTGTCCTGCTCCGGTTCTGTCTTGTTTTCGTGTATGGTGCCTATCTTTAGTATTGCCTTGCTCTCCTAGTTTTTGTCTTGTTTTCATGTATGGTGTCTATTTCTAGTCTTGCCTTGTTCTCCTAGTCTTGCCTTGCTTCAATACTGGATACATCCCTGCTGCAGAGCCTCCCTATTCAGCTCCTGGGAGGTCTGCTTAATTACCTGCTCCTAGTTCCTGGGATCCGCATAAGCTGCATCAGGGTTCTGGTATGTGGCTGCACAAACGCTGGTGCTCAACACCAGGGGGCGTGCAGTTACCCTGCACCAGACCCTGCTAATCCACCTCCACACTGTGACTCCTACTCTGAACATCCGGCATATTGGGTTCTGGTCAACGCACCGCTGCCCGGACCGTGTCTGGGTCCTGGGCACCGGACCGCCACCCGTGACAGCCTGTTACTGAGTCTTGTTTGAAGGAAGCTTTGGCGTGCGAATCTTCACTTCTTGGTTTTCATTTGGCAAATTGCATTAAAGAAAAAATATGTAATGATGATCATATCGATATTCTTTCCTTACAGCCATCCTCTACGGAATTTTTGTTAAGGAAAGAAAGAGATGAGGACAGGAAACGGCCGGTACCCCTGTCCTTTAATAATCGGCTTCAGGCGTTTTGTATTTTTGGTAGTGTTTATTATGAGCATCATGCAGATAAGGTGTTACAAAAGACTGTAACTAACTATGTTACTGTTTGTCCCTGCATAAGTTTAAAACGAAAAGACGCATGAATGGATTACCCGAACCATTATAAGGGACCCATTCGTGGTACGAACAGGGGACCCCCCAGAATTGGCGTGTGCCGCCACTTAACCCCGTCACCCCGCAAACTGCCGAACGCTCGACCACCCAGCCAGCGGCGTGTGGCAGCCATTAACCACCCAGGCAGCTGCGGTTTGCGGTTAACCACAACGTAATTGATAAGCCTGGGGGGCATCAACGTTCGCATCTAAATACCGAACGGAATCCACCGAACTACCAACCGAACGACGACACCCTACAGCGGGCCGCGTGGCGGTCATTAACTTGTGGTTTCTGCGGTTAACCGCAGGTCAAGTACCCTGCTACCAGGTGGTCCTCATTCCCTTACCGAACGAGCCCCAATACCAGACAGACAGCGGGACTTCGCATGAACTGATACCGAGTTTAGTTCCACGAGTTAGACACGAAGTCCCGCTGCCCGCTAAACCAGCAGAAAACATGGCCGCCAACAAAGACTAACAATCTCAAAATGCCGAACGGACTTTATACGGCAGAAACAGGCCATTCTGTTCGTGGGATTAGAGCGCCATTCGCCTGTTTTATATACACGAACGCGAGCCTTCAGATGAATGGTAGAATGAGTGGTTTCCCTGTAATAATGTACAAGTTATGGATTTTCATGTAGTTTTCTGGGACATAATAAAACGTGGTCTTTTGTGCGCTTGGAGATAATTAGATTGTAAAACCGTTGGCCTCATTATCTCCAAGCTGGGCGGGTACTAATTCAAATGATACAGTGTACTGTGATTGGTTACCTGTTTGAACTGTACCTGTACAGGGAGTGCAGAATTATTAGGCAAATGAGTATTTTGACCACATCATCCTCTTTATGCATGTTGTCTTACTCCAAGCTGTATAGGCTCGAAAGACTACTACCAATTAAGCATATTAGGTGATGTGCATCTCTGTAATGAGAAGGGGTGTGGTCTAATGACATCAACACTCTATATCAGGTGTGCATAATTATTAGGCAACTTCCTTTCCTTTGGCAAAATGGGTCAAAAGAAGGACTTGACAGGCTCAGAAAAGTCAAAAATAGTGAGATATCTTGCAGAGGGATGCAGCACTCAAAATTGCAAAGCTTCTGAAGCGTGATCATCGAACAATCAAGCGTTTCATTCAAAATAGTCAACAGGGTCGCAAGAAGCGTGTGGAAAAACCAAGGCGCAAATAACTGCCCATGAACTGAGAAAAGTCAAGCGTGCAGCTGCCACGATGCCACTTGCCACCAGTTTGGCCATATTTCAGAGCTGCAACATCACTGGAGTGCCCAAAAGCACAAGGTGTGCAATACTCAGAGACATGGCCAAGGTGAGAAAGGCTGAAAGACAACCACCACTGAACAAGACACACAAGCTGAAACGTCAAGACTGGGCCAAGAAATATCTCAAGACTGATTTTTCTAAGGTTTTATGGACTGATGAAATGAGAGTGAGTCTTGATGGGTCAGATGGATGGGCCCGTGGCTGGATCGGTAAAGGGCAGAGAGCTCCAGTCCGACTCAGACGCCAGCAAGGTGGAGGTGGAGTACTGGTTTGGGCTGGTATCATCAAAGATGAGCTTGTGGGGCCTTTTCGGTTGAGGATGGAGTCAAGCTCAACTCCCAGTCCTACTGCCAGTTCCTGGAAGACACCTTCTTCAAGCAGTGGTACAGGAAGAAGTCTGCATCCTTCAAGAAAAACATGATT